CTGGGCCTTCTATTTGTTGCAGCAGTAGTCTAACAGAAAAAAATTTCCCTTCAACCCAGCACCACAACCTGTGTCTCAGATTTTAACTTCATGCCGAGGCTAACCTCCGGGCCACAACCCCTCCTGGCTACAGGAGCTGGCAGCACCCAGCAGTGGTGCCCTCCTGGTGTGGCTGAACCTCAGTGGGAGGCTCAGGTGTAAGCATCCAAAGGACAACTTTCTCCATGTCAGGCCTCTTCCTTGGAGAGGGGAGACCGTGAGTAGGCAAAACAGAGGAGCCATCTCCATTCCAGCCTGCACTCTTTGAAGGCCTGAGCATGTCAGATTAAATACATGTGTCAACATGAATCAGAGAGGCCATTCACATAACTGAGTCATCCTAAAGAGAGGGATACTTGGATCAGAACAGTGACACGGTTTGTCTTCATCAGTCATAGCCTGTCATAACAATCACTATTACAAAGGCAAAGATAGGCAGTGTCTGCAACAATTATTTAATCAAACGACATATACAAAGTTTTTGCAATGACTGAAAAACCTGACAGAGGCTGTAATAAGAACAGAAACTGCAAGGCTACTCAGGTTTAACAGTCTTTTCAAAGCATCCTTCCCTTCCGATGATTTATTATTGCTGGTCCAAAACATTTCTCCATTCAGATACAGTACTTTAAATGCTCCGTGCCAAATAACACAGGTAGCAGAAGCCTTATATCCTGAGGAAGGGGAACAAGATTTATATCTGGCTTGGTCCACCCTTCTACATTAAGAATGCAAGACACGTTGGCTGGAAATTATAAGGACCACACATCTCAGAGCCAAGAAAACCTCCATGGCTCTAGCTGGCCAGTAACAAGTTCTGCACAGATGCAGAGTTTGTCTGCAAGCGTGACATGAAAGCACTTGCTGACAGAGGCGCATCTCCTATGTCCCACCTCAAATACACTGAGGAAACGGCCAGTCCTGCATGCTTAACACTCAGCTGTAGAAAGACTGGAGCTGTGAGAATCCCTGTCATGTTGTTTACGGTCTCCCAAAGTATTCTCTCTCAAATTTACGGAAATCTTCCTCAGTAAAGACAGTGCCCTCAGGTTTCTTCTTTGCCGCCTTCTTTGGAGGCTGATCTTTGGACTTCCTGCCTCTGTTCTGAGCAAGAACCTTCAGACAATAAAAAAAGGAAAAAACAACATTGTTATCCAGACCAAACCACAAAACGGTGATTTTCAAGCCTGCCTGCAGCATCCCAGCTATTCTGCTGGTACCCTGCTATATCCTGGAATGCCTCCAAAGAAAAGTGAGAGGCAACTGATGTTAACCAAAGCAGGTAACTGGGACAACAGCAAACCAACCTACTATTTGGAGCCAAATATGAAAACTACTCTCTGGTAACTGTCACAGAGATAGAAACACTGTTTTCAATTCAGACGTTTCTGAAACTGTGACCTTCTTTTATCCTGTCTCTCCACAAGACAACCTGAAAACCCAACAAGTTGGTGGAATTCCCTCAGCATTTTCTAATACACCATCACCTCCTTTCACAACCTCTGGCCTGAGAAACATTGACCTAAACCGCTTGGTTTGTTTATGTAAGTTAAAAGCCCATATCTCATAAAAATAGCCCAAGATTCTGGCAGTGTCAGCTATTCTCTTCAAATCCCGGCATGGGACTACCTTTTGGGGAAGACGACTGGTTAAATTCTCAGGTTATGAGAAACATCATTCAAGATGCTATGAAATTCCTATTACATGAGCCAGCAGCACATGTGGTTCCTTGCTAAACAGCCTCCAGCTACAGAGAAAGACAAATCAATCAACAGTAAGGAGAAGGTCTGAACCAGGACTTCTTTGCCAGCTGAAGCTATGAAATGTCTTTAGTAATTAAGAAAAGCCAACTGTTGTCAGTAGATTTTAACTAGTATCAGAGAACATCATAGGGGACAATGTATCAACAAGAGTTTCAAGCCTAGTAAGTTGCTTTGCCAGTGCACACAGAAATTCCTCAAGGCCATTTCCAGACAGAAACTTGACTTGACTCCTTTGCACAGCTGGAAGACCTGGGGATGATTCCCATTCACCTGTGTTCCTCAGCAGAAGCAGATGCCCAAACAAAGAAGTGACAGTCTTATGACAGTCTTACTTGTTCTGTGATGGCTTTTTTTGCAACAAATCGTCCCTTCAACATGTACTGCAGGTTTGCTCTCAAGTGATTCACGTCCGCCTTCTTGTGATACTCCTCTAGGTCAGAGCAGAGTGGGACAAAACACATGAGATGCTCATCCGGGCAGCATGCAAGGAGAGACACAGGGGGATTAGCAAGGCCCCGGGAGAAAGAGACACCGCTACAGGGTGTCAGGGATAGGGGTGCTTCCACAGGTCAGGCTGTGTTTAAGTGGGGGACACCAGAAGAGCACCCAGGAGGTCGGGAAGGGATGGACAGAAGCGACCGGGAGGGGGTTGCGAGACACCACGAGGGGACCTGGTGCGAGGACTGTGGAGGGCGGCAAAGCTGCTTCCCCCCGCCCTCCCCGGAGCCGGGCCGGGACTCACCTATCGCCGACTTCACGACTCTGCCCTTGACCGTGGCCTTGTTCCTGCCGGGCTCCGGCGCCCTCTTCCTCCGCCTCGCAGCTC